CTTATAAGCTGCCTCATGATACCAAGATGCACTGAATGCATAGAATCAATAGGAACATTGGAAATCAATCCCACATCTGGCAATTTATTCAGAATTGTTTCTCTGTGTTGATAATCACCCAAATAATCTAAATTTTTGAAGTTCAAATCGGTTCTTATGAGTTCATTACAATATCTAAGAAAATTTGTTTGATCAGATATAGGAAAAACCATGGAATTATGATATTCACCTTCTATTAAACATTTACTACAGCTAGAATAACCACTGTGACCCTTTGTACACAGAATGAATGATTTGGCAGGTGCGTCACAAATAAATCCGTAAATTTGCACGTTATATTTTTTGTCTTTATAGTCAAAACCATTTAATATTATTGGTATAATTTCCTCAACAAATTTTGATAAATACACGTTAGGATCTGCAGGCTTCTTAGAACCGTAATAAATGCCTATTACATGTACTGACTTTGAATGAAAATCTTTACAAAGAATTGTCCAAACACCTTTTCCTGATGACGTTCCAGTAATAGGAGCACCGTCGATATTAATCATAAGTTTTATAGTCTCCAACGTACAATTAGTATCAGAATGACTTAAAATGATATTTTGAAGAGCGTTTGTAACCCCAAGATGGCAATAGTGACTGATATCCATAGCATCAATATGTGTAAACTTTGGAGTTTTTAAAAGAGTTCTTGGATCTTTCGGGAATGGAGTATTTGTATATGTGTTAAGTATTGATAATAATGATTTTAAAGCATTATGGCGTATTTGAAAATCTTTTGCCCATTCAGTTATGTCGTTTACGAATTTTTTATTATTCAGTTGAACAGGATTTTCCAATGCCAGATCAAAATCTAAGTCTGTATCACTATCACCATCCGGAATACTTTCAGCTTCGCTGTCACTGTAACGATATATTTCGGAATCAAGAGAACTACAACTACTTTCCGAGTCATATCCATCCATTTCACTCTGAATAATAGTGTCTATATTCGGAATCGATCGATTATGGTCTACATTGTCTAGTTCAACTAAACGAGACTCGGATACACGAGTGTTTACATTTTTCTTTGAGTTTTCCAGGAAAGTTGCATGTAATAAACAAGCTGCGTTCGTAGCTGGTGTCATTTCGTCATCACTTTCAGGAGCAGATGTCTGATTAGACGAAGTAATTTTCGAAACAACATCGTATACATCTAATTTAGTCTGCTTTGCTGCTAACCGGCGAAGTTGTTTAGTTGATTGAGGATTTCGTTGTCGCTTTTTAGGCATCTCCCTGTTTAACGAATTTTTGTATAGACCAAAGTAACAATATTTTGTTTATATCGTTTATTAAAAAAGTTTTTTTCCACTAATTTCACACCTAGGTAAGTCAACCTTGACGGTGATTTGTTTCTATGAAAGTATACGAGGTGTGTTCAAAAAGGAAGGTGACTTTTCAAATTTCACGGGCAACGTATTTTCGATTATCAATTTTTTTGTTTTGTTATGTTGGTACACTCTTCCCGAACATCTGTACCAAGTTTCAAATGTATAGCATTTTTTGTTTGGTTGTGAGAGGCGTAAAGGTTATAAGTGTTTTGCGTGCTCAGCGATTTCTTGCTATCGAAAAATATGGATCAAAGGATTTGCATCAAATTTTGTGTAAAAAATAAAATAAAGTGCTCTGAAACACTTGAAATGTTGACGGTGGCATACGGTGAAACTGTTCTGAGTAAAAAAAATGTTTACAAGTGGTACAAACTCTTCCAAGATGGCCGGGAAGATGCCAATGACGAGCTTTGCTCTGGACGCCCAAGCACGTCTACAACTGATGAAAACGTTCAAGCAGTGGAGAAAATTGTTCTGGAAAATCGTCGAATCACTATCAGAGAAGTTGCTGAGGATGTTGGTATATCGCTTGGCTCGTGCCATGAGATTTTTTCTAACGTTTTGGGCATGAGATGTGTGTCAGCGAAGTTTGTTCCGATTGCTAAATTTTGACCAAAAGAACCGTCGCATGAGCATCGCTCAAGAACTGTTGAATGACGTCAACGACGACCCAGATTTACTCAAAAGGGTCATAACTGGTGACGAATCATGGGTATATGGTTATGATATCGAAACCAAAGTCCAATCGTCCCAATGGAAGAGCCCAGATGAGCCAAGACCGAAAAAAGCACGCCAAGTTCGATCAAATGTCAAAGTTTTGCTCACTGTTTTCTTCGATTACCATGGCGTGGTGCATCAGGAGTTCTTACCCTATGGACGTACGGTCAATAAACAGTATTATCTTGAAGTTATGCGCCGTTTACGAGAAGCAATACGAAGAAAACGCCCAGAATTGTGGAAAAACTATTCATGGCTTTTGCATCACGATAATGCCCCTGCTCACTCATCTTTGCTTGTGAGACATTTTTTGGCCAAAAACAACACCACAATCATGCCTCACCCATCATATTCACCGGATTTGGCCCCATGTGACTTTTTCTTGTTCCCAAAACTAAAAAGACCTATGAAAGGACGGAGATTTGCACCGATTGAAGAGATAAAGACTGCAGCGCTGGAAGAGCTCCAGGCTATACCGAAAAGTGCTTATGAGAAGTGCTTTGAGGATTGGAAAAACCGTTGGCATAAGTGTATTGTATCTGAGGGGGATTACTTTGAAGGGGATATTTATATTTATCAATACATAAATATTGATAAATAAATAAATACTTTTTCTTAAAAATACAAAGTCACCTTACTTTTTGAACACACCTCGTATATAGAAATTATCGTTTGCGAAGCCCACCAGACTTGTCTAGTTTTTGGTAGTTACCACATAACCTCAAAAATCATAATATTATCTATAACCGCATTCTACTATGCAAGAATAAATTAAAAACAAAAACCTGATATATGTTTTCGAATAGAAATTAGTTTTCTGAACAGTACCAATCACACTTATCGCTTTCAATAACGATGTTTTCAATGTATTTTTTATGTAGAATACGATGACATTATTCGTTCTAGCCTAAAGTCTGTGACGCCGTTGAATCTCCCACCGAAAGAGATTCGCTCAACTATGCTAACTTCTGGACCAAAGCACTGAGCGCGCAAAATCACTTCGGTTCCGAGCACCATCAGATAGTGCAGGAGCACAACCAACGTGCGAGCGACAACACGCGCTAGTCTAGACCTATGACCGTTCGCAAAGTCAGTCGCAACGGATTTCTCATTTCAAGTGATGAACAGCAATGCAAGCCACGAGGCAGTCCTTATAGACTGGCTTATCCATGCATAACTTTTGCTACATTTTACTTATTACAAGTACGTTGTAAGTAGTTCGAGATTATAGTATTAATGAATTCACTCAAATTGACCACAGTCACTTATCCCAAACTAAAGCTTCCAACTTCACATAAACTTCGTTAACTCCAAAATGGTGACTCTGACATACGCGCGCGCATCGCTAAGGTCTTGCACGGCGTGCTCAGAATTTTTAGCATTACGAGTGCGCGAATAGTTTTTTCTCATTGTGAAGTGCTGCGACTTTCAGTGAAACCAGTGATCTATTCGTGTGGGATGTGACTCTTGGTAGTTTCTGAACAATTTCGCTCGCGGTACATGTAACTGCCGCCTCGAACGTGAGGGCACGCTAGCTCCATCATTCCGTTAAAGCAAAGCGCCGCGCCTCTCGGGTGCGGATTCTAGTAACGCATCCGAGCGTACCATCATCTCTCGCTCTCCGTCTCCATCAACAGGGGGCAACTCTCGTCCTTCCATAGCATACTATCTGCAGCAGTCCTGGCGCGATCTAAGACGCTTTACCGGAACGATAAACTACTTCCGAGCATTGATTCCACACGCTACCAAGCTAAAGGATCCCTTCATAAACTACCTCCATGATGCCAAGAAAAACGATAAGCGACCGATCAAATGGACAACGTAGGCCACTGAAACCTTCGAGGACTGCCAAAGAAAGCCTTGTCAAGGCCACGATAGCCTGTTTCCACGCACCCAACGCACCACTCAGGCTCAATACAGACGGCTCTTCCACAGCCATCGGAGCATTGCTGGAGCAACTGAAAAACTCCGTATGACAGAGAACTGCTGGAAATTTTCGCTGCAATAAAGCATTTCTAGCACATTCTCGATAGACGAGAATCCGTCATGCGCACTTATAACAAACTGCTCATCAATTTTCTTGACCAACTGCCAGACAAAGCATCGCACCGAAAGCTCGATCAACTCGATTACGTCAACAATTCCTGCCAAAATTATCGAAAAACGAGTGTCATATTTGGATTCAACGGCTTAAAATACATAAGAACAACTAAGAGGCAATAGAGAGCGCATTGGCAATGTTTGATTTTTTGCCAGTCAGCCAAAATGTGATATGATAATATATTGTTTTTTTCATATTGAAATTTAAGAAAAATTTTGTCTAGAGCTAAGAACATTTGTATCAATTTTAACATCCGATCAATAACAAAACAAAACCAGGGGATCATAAGGAAATACAATTGAACAATAGCAATCAATAAACTCAATTTTACATGGACATCAAGCAATATTTTCTAATTTTAGAGTAGGACTACATTTATTCGAAGTGAAAAAGTAGTGCCCAAATTTTATGTTGATAGTAGTGATGAGAATCCGATGACGCTACAAATCATTTTCATGAAGTCGAGACGAATCTAAATCGTTTGTACGTCCGCAGTTAGCTGTTCTATTTCTCGTTCCAGTTTCAGTGATACATTTTTAAAAAAAGATTCCGCGAAAACATTTTTATTGAAAAGCTGTAAATGCTGTTCGAATAGATAATTTTGTAAATTAATTAATTATATTGGTATACTATACTAAAATAATTAATATTATATTCAATGCTATGCAGATCAGAATTTTCAATTATAACACACTAGAGCGAATTCACTCTTTTGAAACACAGTGATTATATTAGATGTATCATAGTTCATCTAACTCAACTATTCATTAATTTCAACTAATAGTGGTATGTATTTATATATTATTGATAGTAAAAATTAACTAACAACAATTAATTCTGCTATATTAATAGCAGAATTATATAAGCAGCTTTGATAATTAAAATATATATCTTGATTGATATTATACAATTCAAAAATATTAAAGAAATACAGTATACCCTAAATATAAGAAGTTATATAAATCAGTTTTAATCATTCGGATACAACACCATTGATAATCATGTCATTGTAAGCCCAGCCTGTGGATGCATCACTTATTTAAAGCATTGAAGTCTTACATCAGCTATAACATTCCAATCTTCTGGTAGTTCTACTTTAAATCTTTTCAAAATATATCAACAACTTCTTTAAAATGAAGATATTTTTTAGTTTCATCGAAGCAGATTAATAATTTATATTTCTCATCTGACTCCTGTAAAAGAAGTATATATTCAGTAATAATTGCAAAATCTTTCATTTATTTTATGACAATTTACACTTTTACCGTTATCAAATTATCCATGAATATCGTACAAACCATCAATGAAGAAAGATACTTTCTTGTAAATAATAATAAATATTTAATATCTACTAATACATAAATATTCATGCAATGCAATATATAGTTCAATCTATCACAGTAATTCAAAGAATAAAATAATAGTTCTAAATTCCAAGAAATAAACTGAAGTAATATGTGTTCATTACCTGTCCTGGGCAATTAATCAAAAGGTAGTGATTTTTGAAATTAAAAACTTTTCTAATCAACCATCCAATATTTTTCTCTAAAAACTCAATACAATAAGCTCCATTAGTTTGCAAGCTTCTGTACTATCCAGACCAAATATCATATAAATACTATAATAAAAGACAATGGTCTTTTACATTTTGTAATTCTGTATGGCCTTTAAAATCAAAAACATTTAATCTTTATTGCAATAATCAACTGCACATGATTCAGACATTTTTTCAGAGTTTTTACCTAAAATTGCATATTTTTTCTTGTGAGAATAGCAAATTAACATTCTCCCTTGTACTCTACTATATGCAGCTGCTTTTGTAAATGATCCAATACATGTGCATGAATTTTCCACAAAATTAGATGTGAAAGATTCTAATTCATTGGTCCATATTCAGAAAACAATAGCCTAAAGTGATCCACTTTGTATACAATTACTGAAGACCGTACTGATGATTTTATAATCTTTGAACAAAGCTATTACCTAAAATAAAAAAACGAATTCTACTGTATTTATCAACTTTATCTAGAAGTTATAGCGATTAATTTATAAAACTACCTCCTTCAGATATTGGCTGTTTAATATCGGCATGATAAACTCTGACAGCATACCAACTCGAATCTGCAGCCCAGACAACTTTAAAAGCCTGTCCAAAAGCGTTGTTTCTCAAGCCTATAAATGTATAAATCATAAACTATCATCAAAAACTACGATGAAACTTCCTTTAGGATTGTGATGAATTGTTCGTGGTTAGATTTCACAAACACCCATGTCTTTGACAGTTAATGGCAACTTTTCACCTTCCTGAGCTTCTTCTCCAAGTACTTTCAAATTGACCTGCTGAATTTCACTGTGTTTTGCCCATACAATTTTACCACCTATATACATAAAAAATTTTCTAAGCGTAATGATCTTTACAATGAAACATGAAAGTTATTGCATATGTGATAAGTTTACCAAGAGAATCCATAGACACAGCTGGTTCCTCACAAACAACTTTTAGCATTACACTAACTTCATTGTAACCAATAGCTACATTATTAGAACCTTTTGTAGATGTAGGGAAAAACTTGGCACAGCCAAGAATTTTCCCAATTCCAAAGTATTATAAGGATGTCATTAATTTTAAAAATTATTAAATAATTCAAGATATATGATATTTGAATTATCAAAGCTGCTTATATAATTCTGCTATTAATATAGCAGAAATAATTATTATTATTTAATTTTTACTATCAATAATATATAAATACATACCACTATTAGTTAAAATGAATAGTTGAGTTAGATGAACTATGATACATCTAATATAATCACTGGTTGATAGACTAAAAAAATTATTTCTAACCTAATAATAAGTTTATGCTTGCTTAGAATGCTGAATGAACTGAACTGAGCTGAAATACTTATTGCACTGGGGGGTTTCGTCTATAACTCAATTAAAAATTATCTTTCCCATAACAAAACTATATTTATGATGAGCAAATTTTTAGTTATTCTTTGGATATCGATGGAATCATTTTTGATGTTATGATATTTTCTATCACCCAATATCATGGTTGTTTTTTCATCATTTAAGCACAGTTCAGTTGACTACAAAAAATAACTAACAATTTGCTCATCATGAATATAAGTTTGTGTTATGCCAAACATAATTTTTAATTGAGTTACAGACAGAGCCAAGTGCAATAATTAAAGTACTCTTTAGAGACTTGAGCTTGCCTTAATTTTGGAAGGTCGAGATTTCATAAAATTAAAACTTTAATAAAATAAATAATTAATAGATATTACTTTCTTCTTTTTTTGGATAATTGCTGTCTTTTGCATTTATGGATTTGAGTAACAGCAGCTATTGGTCGATTATCTTAAGATTTGGGCAAGAATTTTGAACCTCGACTAAACTCTGTCCTACTTTAGACATAGCCTTTTTATTAACTTTATTGAATTGAAATATTGAATTTTATTAATAATTACAAAAAAATTAATTCCTGTTGCTAAACATATTTTTGAAAATCCAAGCTATAGCTTTTATTGGAAAAAATATAATAATTTTAAAAATCAAACCAGATCATCAACACAGACAAATGCTAGAATTGTTATAAAAACTAATAAATATATTATTGACAACAAATGAGAAGATGTTCGATCTCAGAATATAATAGTTTACATCATTTCATAAATTGATGTGACTTAAAAATTTTAATTGATTCTTATCTACAATAGTAGTTTGTAAAATCCTGTTATATCTCTATCCTCCACCAGTGATTGTACTCCAACTATTTGAGTTTATGTATTGTCATAGCGTTACTAAGATTTGTTCTACTGATCTAGAGATGGGGTATTTATACTTTTGTTCAATTAATTTCAATCAATGAATTGTTTAGTTTTTGAAAAATTGATAATATAGTTTTGATAAAAATTTTTAGTTGACATGACAATTTTTATTAATATTTAAATTTCAAGAACTATATTCATGTGGAATGTTGCAAAGGTTCACTAGGTACTTGTTCTAAACTCAACATCCCATAATTTTTTAAATGGTACAAGAGGAGAAAGTTATACATACATCATGACTGGACCTACAATTTAATGAGGAATTCAAATCAAGATAATAAACAATTGAAAATTTCATATCTGAAAATCCTTATATGCCTGGGGCTAGACCCCACAACTTTTTTTTGCACAGAAGCATTAATTTTTACCCAATAAACCACCATGAATTAATTTAATTAGAAAATATAAGTTAACTGTTAGATACTACACTTGTGACACCAACTTTAGCTACTTTTTGACCTAGCCACATATACATCTATTTTAAATAAACTAATTTGTTTTGAACAATGAAAAGAATTTGTGCTTGGTTTTAAACCATTACTTTATTACTTATGATTTCCAAAAATTTGTCAATTTAGTATATTCAAAAAGTATAATTTACATAACTTCAAAAAAATACTTGCTAATTGTTTGAGACCTTGCAGCAAACAATCTTACAGTGACAGCTAAGGATTAAGAAATGTGTCATTCAATTGATATTTGATACATATCGTAAAAAATTATAATTCATATTTTTAAATAAACAAATTTCCTGAAGAGGCTTAGAATCTGTTGTCAAAACATTAAAAAACATGTAGACCAATATATGAATTCAATTTTAATTATAGGTCAACCCTCAAAAATCAATAAAGCATTTTTAGGTAATTATAATTTGATAAATCGAATTTTACAAAACATTAGATTTATATTCAATTTTCAAATATATAAGAAAACTGCTAATTTTGTTATAAGACTTAAAATAATCCACCAAGATCTGATCAATTGCAACAGTTGTTGATTATAATTTTAAACACACTTAAAAAGATAAAGTTCAAATAAACTTCACATAAGGTCAAATAGTAACATTTAAACAACTAAACTGAATAAACATAATATAAATTAAAAATATAATATAGATAATTGATAATTTTATATTCAGTCTGGTTAAAATAAAATTTATGTGTGAACGCGTGGTCGTAACCTTTCTAAAACACAAATTTCGCTGATGCACATTAAATAATATGTAACTTACATAAATAATATAACTTACCTGATGATTCAAAAGAATGATAGTAGCTGGTTTTTTTATTATTCAATAATCACGTATTGATAAATACTTTTAATGTGCCTCGTGTAGATGTCCCCCGTCAGTGTCAGTACAAACGACGGAATGACAGTTTGCAGTGAGAAGTAAAGTTTGGACTACAAAAGTGACCGAGCAATGGCGCTGGCGACGTGTTTCGAATAATATTTCAGCTATATTTTTTTGGAAATATTCCATGCCGGTATTCAGCAATCGTTCCGAAATATTTCTTAAAAAGATTGTAAACAAGCGAAATCTATCTCGAACTGAAACCTCTCACAAACCTTTCTGAAAGATTGCAGAGAAATGTTTCACTCAATATTGCAGAAATATTTTAAAACACTTATTAGGCATGTTCCGAGTAATATTTCAACGAGTTTTTTGGAAATATTCCATGCCAGTATCCAGCAATCTTTCCGAAATGTTTCTCGAAAGATTGCAAAAATGTAAAATTCAATCTCGAACTGAAACCTCTCAGAAACCTTTCTGAAAGATTGCAGAGAAATGTTTCACTCAATATTGCAGAAATATTTTAAAACACTTATTAGGCACGGTTCGAGTAATATTTCACCGAGTTTTTTTGGAAATATTCCATGCCAGTATCCAGCAATCTTTCGGAAATGTTTCTCGAAAGATTGCAAAAATGTAAAATTCAATCTCGAACTGAAACCTCTCAGAAACCTTTCTGAAAGATTGCAGAGAAATGTTTCACTCAATATTGCAGAAATATTTTAAAACACTTATTAGGCACGGTTCGAGTAATATTTCACCGAGTTTTTTTGGAAATATTCCATGCCAGTATCCAGCAATCTTTCGGAAATGTTTCTCGAAAGATTGCAAAAATGTAAAATTCAATCTCGAACTGAAACCTCTCAGAAACCTTTCTGAAAGATTGCAGAGAAATGTTTCACTCAATATTGCAGAAATATTTTAAAACACTTATTAGGCACGGTTCGAGTAATATTTCACCGAGTTTTTTTGGAAATATTCCATGCCAGTATCCAGCAATCTTTCCGAAATGTTTCTCGAAAGATTGCAAAAATGTAAAATTCAATCTCGAACCGAAACCTCTCAGAAACCTTTCTGAAAGATTGCAGAGAAATGTTTCACTCAATATTGCAGAAATATTTTAAAACACTTATTAGGCACGGTTCGAGTAATATTTCACCGAGTTTTTTTGGAAATATTCCATGCCAGTATCCAGCAATCTTTCCGAAATGTTTCTCGAAAGATTGCAAAAATGTAAAATTCAATCTCGAACCGAAACCTCTCAGAAACCTTTCTGAAAGATTGCAGAGAAATGTTTCACTCAATATTGCAGAAATATTTTAAAACACTTATTAGGCATGTTCCGAGTAATATTTCACCGAGTTTTTTTGGAAATATTCCATGCCAGTATCCAGCAATCTTTCGGAAATGTTTCTCGAAAGATTGCAAAAATGTAAAATTCAATCTCGAACTGAAACCTCTCAGAAACCTTTCTGAAAGATTGCAGAGAAATGTTTCACTCAATATTGCAGAAATATTTTAAAACACTTATTAGGCACGGTTCGAGTAATATTTCACCGAGTTTTTTTGGAAATATTCCATGCCAGTATCCAGCAATCTTTCGGAAATGTTTCTCGAAAGATTGCAAAAATGTAAAATTCAATCTCGAACTGAAACCTCTCAGAAACCTTTCTGAAAGATTGCAGAGAAATGTTTCACTCAATATTGCAGAAATATTTTAAAACACTTATTAGGCACGGTTCGAGTAATATTTCACCGAGTTTTTTTGGAAATATTCCATGCCAGTATCCAGCAATCTTTCGGAAATGTTTCTCGAAAGATTGCAAAAATGTAAAATTCAATCTCGAACTGAAACCTCTCAGAAACCTTTCTGAAAGATTGCAGAGAAATGTTTCACTCAATATTGCAGAAATATTTTAAAACACTTATTAGGCACGGTTCGAGTAATATTTCACCGAGTTTTTTTGGAAATATTCCATGCCAGTATCCAGCAATCTTTCCGAAATGTTTCTCGAAAGATTGCAAAAATGTAAAATTCAATCTCGAACCGAAACCTCTCAGAAACCTTTCTGAAAGATTGCAGAGAAATGTTTCACTCAATATTGCAGAAATATTTTAAAACACTTATTAGGCATGTTCCGAGTAATATTTCACCGAGTTTTTTTGGAAATATTCCATGCCAGTATCCAGCAATCTTTCGGAAATGTTTCTCGAAAGATTGCAAAAATGTAAAATTCAATCTCGAACTGAAACCTCTCAGAAACCTTTCTGAAAGATTGCAGAGAAATGTTTCACTCAATATTGCAGAAATATTTTAAAACACTTATTAGGCACGGTTCGAGTAATATTTCACCGAGTTTTTTTGGAAATATTCCATGCCAGTATCCAGCAATCTTTCGGAAATGTTTCTCGAAAGATTGCAAAAATGTAAAATTCAATCTCGAACCGAAACCTCTCAGAAACCTT